ATGAAGTTTACCACAAAAGGTGCAGATCACTGGTTCGCCACGTTAGCGCGACGATTCTGCGAGCAATTGGCGTGCGTGAAACGAGTCGAGAATACCGCATCGCTCTCCCTCTCCGTGTCTTGGTATCATGTCTTTGTGTGTCTACGTCCAGGTCTCGCCTTCGAACCATCGAGACTGCATGCACGTCCATGATTTGTATCGTCCTCCATGCAAATGCCCTTCGAATCTATTGTGCGTATAGCGCACCCACTGCCGTTGTCGGGTGTCGCCCCCATCCCCTTGCCTGGATTCGCCATGCATGTGACAGCGACCATTGCACCACCACGTCAAGTACCCACGTTGGTCGGAATTGACAGTACCAAGAATGCAGCTGATGTTCGCTCATTGAGGCCATAATCACGGAGTCTTCATTGCGGTGGTGTCATGAACCAAGCCAATGCGCTGGTGACAGTGGGCCACCGCTACTGCGGCATCGACTGCTTGAGAGGTCCTCGCTGAATGGGAGGCGTAAAAATCAACGAACATGGATTGGCTATTTTGAATTTCCCAACGATAAATTGACCAATCACGTGGCCAACTTCTCGGTTTTGCCGGTGAAATTCAAATTCGAGAGCGCTGTGAGAGCAGACGCCGTGATGGACGAGTTCGATCGGGAAGCGCCACTGTTCGATGGGAAAGTGAGAGTTCTCGTACAGCAACCCGAGCGCGACGACCGTCATACGTTCCTCACCGTGCGCATGCTCAATGGCCAGCGGGTACGTTATCCGCGAGGCACCGTCGTCGTGGAGGTTCCGACACACGTGAACCTGAACTCGCCCGACTTGATAGACGTTGAACAGCAACCAAAAGGAGCGCGTGCTGCGGATCGAAGTCACGGACGACGAAGAACTCGAAACGTTCTTCCTGTATGTTTGGAGCGTGTCGGAAGAAGAGTTCCACGACCTGAAACACCAACAACGCCTCCTTGTGGATTTCCCCAAGTTTGCGACCAATTTCATGGATCTCTTGACATGTTGCTTGGCTAAACCAACGATCCTCCATGAGTCGTCGTCAAATCACCGACCTGAGGGCCAGGCGCCTTTGAGCTACTTGGCCGTACTCAACACGCACGACACGGCCGGTCACAGCACATTCAGCATCGTCGAGACGAACGCGTTCAAGCGGCTAACACATTTGTCCCTGCAGTTTACTCCTGGGGACGATGCCGAGGTGAAGCTATATCTGGCCGCTCGATTGCGTCAAACCACGGTGGGTGGGTTGAATGCAGGCGCGGCCGACAGCTGACAATTTGATGCCATTAGCACGAGAAACGACGGCTGCAGCAAGACTTGGCAACCACGACCAGCGACTTGAACGCCGCCAAGAAGTCCGAGTCGGAGCTGAAAACCCAAGTAGACCATGCCGCACAGCAACATAGTGAGCAATTGGGGCAGGCCAAGATGGCGTATTCGGACGAGATGACGGCGCAGGTGCCGACTCCTGTACCGTGGATCTCCGGCGTCCAAATTACGTTGTGCTTCGTAGAAAGAAGCGGCACTTGCGACGCTCCATGAGACCGAGCGGATGTACTCGGCCAAGTTGGAAAGCCTCCGGATATCGTCCAAGGACGAGGTCGATTGCTCTCGCACGAAATGTGCTTCATCCTCACTCGAATTCGACGTCTAGATTGAGCAACTCCAGCGAAACCTTGCCGAGAGCCAAGCAACGATTCAATCTCTCCAAAAGACCAAGTACCAACACGAAATCAAACTCGAGCAACTCGAGCTCCACGTTGCACAGCTCGAAAAGTCCAATCAACAACATGCCGACGAGCTACAAGCGCTGAAAGACCAAAACAAGGCGCTCGATCACGACGTGTTTACCAAGGTGTGGCGCGATCACCCGAAATGACCGTCGATGCAGCCAAGCACAGTTCAAACTACGCTGACATCCTTACCACTAGGAAAAATTGCTCAACCAGAGCGACCTGCGGATCGCTGCTCTCCAGCAACAAGTTCGTGTGCTGTTCCATTAGTCGTGACGATGAGCGAAAACGTCCACTGTCGCGTAGGTCGCCGACAAAGAAGACGTGATCCAGAAATCCACAGAGCTGCTGCAAGCGTCGTCGAATCACAAGGTGTGCCGTCGGTTGCGTGGGGCCGCTCAGACTGACTGGGGAATTGTTTGTCGAGCAGCTCGAGATCGAAGAAACACTGACGATGTACAAGGCCAACAACAGTACAATGCAGCAAAAGCTCGAACTGAGCATCTCGGAGATCAACAAGGTGCGGCAGAACCGACGTCTTGGAGGCCATGACACCTCTTGGGCAGGGCAATCAAATCATCGAACAAATGCACAGCGAAAACCAAGCGATGAAGGCCAAGTTGCGCATGAAGTCCAAGATTTTGAAACAGCAAGACCTGGTCAGAGCGCCTCCGCAACGTTGCTTTGATTGTTGCTCATGGGTGTGTGTGCAGATTGTCCAGGAGAAGGAACACCAGCGAGACCAACTCATGCATCAACTCAAGGCGCTGAAGAACGAATTACTCCTGCGTGACGATCAAATTGCGCTCGTTCAAAGCAAGAACGACGACTTGGCGCAGAAACTGGACGAAAGCAACAAGCTTCTCGCGTCCAACCAGCAAGGTATGCCGTTGTCCACAGCGCGTCATCCTCACTGCTTTGCGCTGCAGTCATTACATGGCTCAACAAAGAAATCAATGAAGCGCAGCTGTCGTCGCACAAACGGTCGGCGTACTCGACCGCGTTCACATTCCATCCCCCATCCGCAACAACACTAGGTCCATCTGCAAACCCCGCGACATCTTCGGTTCGTCACTCCTACCGTCCTAAAACGCATCTGCATGATGGACATGGATCGTGTAGCTATTGGATCGCGACCTGCCACAGCGATATGGCATGTCAACTGCTTCCAGGCTTGGAGCTAATTCGTAATAGGAGCAGTTCCGTCGCGATCTTTTCAGCCAGACCATAACATCTACTTTGGTTCCTGGGCGCTTGCCCCCCCAGAACAACTTCCAAGCGGCCACTGCCCTTTCCAGCCTTTGTCACTCTGGCGTGACCTTGTCCAGGCAATCAGCATGCCGTCCACACTTCTGCCAATGCAACCAGAATACCAGGCATTGCCAGCAGCGGGCAATGAATCGTACTGGGGCCAAAACTGATGCTGTCATTTGAGTTGCTCGGAAGAAAAACGTCGAAAAATAGCCATGGAATTATCGGGTCAAGGAGGTCTCGATGTGCAGCAAGATCAAGTGGTGTGGGCGCGGTAACGATCGTCGAGCGTGGCAGACGTGGGCTCGACCACTTCGAGCCCTCTGGCGACCCCCTTTTCTTGAGTTTGTTGGGCAGCAAAGCCGTTGAAGATTTGCTCCAGCGTCGTCTGCGACACCGTGTAGTCTTGGATGTGCAGATCTCGCTTGGCGCGCTCGATCAGAGGGAACACGTGCGAGAGGGCGACGCGGTCCTTGTGGCCAAGCAGCTTGAAGCGACTGACATCGTGTTGGCGCTCCACGAGCTGGACATTCTCGACGCCGAAGACAGTCTCGAGGTAGCGCTTGAGCAAGTCGTAGTTGTCTTCGCCGAGCCACCACGCGCAAAAGTCGTGTGTTCGCACGAACCCGTTCGTCGCCAGCGCATCCTCCACCACATACCCCGTCGGATGGCCCATGCTGACCGCATCCACCCGCCCTGGTCGACCGAGTGCAGCGCAAACGCTGGCCAGGTCGTCCCGGTGGAGGACTGATGTGGCGGCAAAGTGCGTGGTTAGAATTGGGGCAATGTCGGCTTGAGTGATGGGTGAAGCTTTAACATGCAGGGAGAGACCGTCGCCGAAGCGGTGCTTCAAGTGCTGAATGCTACCGAGGCAACGAAGGCCGCCGCCAACCATGATCCCGACGCGAGTACACAGTGCTTCGCACTCTTCCATGCTGTGGGTCGTCAGGAGAATTGTCGACTCCTTGCTGCGTGTGGAAATGTCGGCGATCACGTCCCACATGAACCGACGCGACACAGGATCCATGCCCGTGGACGGTTCGTCCAAAAAGATGATGGGCGGCGACCCGATCATGGCAATCGCCACCGACAACTTGCGCTTGTTGCCGCCGCTGAGCGTCCCCGCCAGTTTGTGCTCAAAGTCGTTCAAGTTCATTTGGTCCATGAGCCCCACGACCGTGTCGTGCACAAGGTTTGACGGAATGCCTTTGATGCACGCAAACAGTTCCAAGTGTTCGCGAACCGTCAATAAATCGATCAGCGCGTCAAACTGCGGGCAGTACCCGATGAGTCGGCGAACGTCCAGTTGCTGCGACAAAATGTCAAACCCGCCCAGCGTCGCCGACCCGGACGATGCCACGATGTCTCCAGTGAGCATCTTCATGGTGGTGGTCTTGCCGGCGCCGTTGATGCCGAGGTAGCCAAAGCATTCGCCCTTGGGCAACCCCAGCGACACGGAAGCGACGCCGACTTTGCCACCATCGTACACCTTGCGCAGTTGCCGCAGGACAATGGCTTCCGAATCGGCAGCTCCCCGCGCGACGCGCCGTTCTTCCGCCGCCACGTCCTCGTCCTGGATGAGCTGGGCATCTTGACCGTCTGTCGTCGGACCGTCCTTGGTTGGGCGATGAAGGGAGGGAACCATGCGCATGTGATCGATCGCGATGGCCGCGATGGGGAACACGATGGCCTCGATGCCCAAGTAGATAATGTCCCAACCCATGACGTCAGTGCTGAATGCAGATGCGCGAGGGTCCAGTCCTCGGCTGATTTGAATAGTTCTCGAGCTGACGGCGTTGAGGCCGTTCCCGATACAAAAGAGGGGCGAGAGCCGCCAAATGAACTTGAGCGCCTTGTTGGTCGCCCGCGTCGATTCGACAATGTCCAGCACGAGCGACACGATGGTGAGCATGAGGCCGACGAACATTTGAACCATGATGATGTAGACTTGGGACGACGCAGGATCGTTGAGCGCGAACGACACGATGTAGCAAAACGCGATGAGAGCGCCACCAAGGAGGACAAACAGTACGACTAGCGCAGCGAACGGCGTGTCCGTGCAGCTGGCGCAGTCGCGACCAGAGAAAGCCGAGATGTCAAACAAGTAGATGGCGGCGAGGCCCGAAGCGCACGGGACGGCGAACATGGCCAAGTCCCAGGCAAAGTTGGCGAGCCAAAATGCCGTCAAGCTCACACCCGAAATCAACTGTTGATGCTTTGCATTCGACATGGCGTGCTTCTCCTTGACCAAATGCGGCACCACAGACGCCGTGTAGATTGCGAACGCAAGGATAGCAAAGAACGACGACAAGTACCCCACCATGGCGGAAAACAGCACCTTGCTCGTGTCCGTCAAAGGCAGCGGATGCGTCGACACCTTCAATGTTACGTCAGGACGATTCACGACCGCTCGGTACAGCGCTTCGTCCGCAATGGCCTTGTGGACGGCGGCGCTATGTTTGGCAGTTGTGTTCACGGCAACGTTGTACCCAAACAAGCGGGACGCAGCCGACCCGAACAGCACGAGTCCACCATACTGGCCAGTGATGCTTGATTTGAATCCGCGCGTCCAGAGCTCGGAGCTGGCGCGGAGGCACGTGTCCATGGTGGGCGTGAGAGCGGTGTACTGAATACCAAAGACGTTGGATGGACTCGGGAGTGGCGTCATCGGCAGCTGCAAATCGTACGGCGCGGCGCCGGCATATTGAGGGACAGCATCGCACAGCCAATCCGACTGACACGAGAACGGAATGGGGGTTTGATTTCCCCTGGGGTAATCTGCCACGGACAAGGCCATTTTGGGCTCGTTCTTGTTGAGCGTACTCGTCTTGAGCAAGGCAATGCCGAGAACGAGGAAGAGAATTGGCAATACCATGCCAAACAGCGCCACCCGACGATCGCGCTTGGCGATGCGATATCGCTTCTTCCAAAGAGCCGCAAAGTGCGTCCTAAACGTGCCGGAAGTACGTTCCGTGAGCAGGTTGAACCCACTGTGCGGGGGCGACACTGGCGACGCAGACTTGGGTTGTTTGTGCGCCAGAGTGTGCTGCTGCGACTCGTCGCCGAGCTCCGCCACTTTGATGAACACTTCCTCCATCGTCGTGACCGAGATGCCGTACGAGACCACACCCAGCAACTCCATTTGCTCGTCAAGGTCAGCGAACATCGCACCAAACAAAGGAGAGCAGTCCAAGGGGAGCTGGAAAGCGATTTCAGTGCCAACGTTGCTCAGAATCTTGGCCCGACCACCCACGCGGCTATTGACAAACGCCACCAACTCGTTCGTGTCGCACGAGTCCGCCTTGACGAGGGAAAAGTTGTACCCCGCGCCGTACCGATTCTTCAAAAACAGCGACGACCCGCAGCAACGCAACTCGCCTTCGGCCATGATCGCAATGCGGTCGCCCAGGATGTCGGCTTCGTCCATGAAATGCGTCGTGAGCACCACTATGCGGTTCGACCGATTGTTCATGATGATTTCCCTATACATTTTTTGGTCAGCATCGTCGTTGCAATGTCCTTGCCTTACCAACTGCTTCGTCGGCTGTACGGGTCCATTCCAGACGTCGGCTCATCCAAAAACACGAGCTGACTGTCTCCCAGCAACGCAATTGCGAGCGACAACTTGCGTTTCATCCCGCCCGAGAGGTCGCTCGACTTCACATGGCGCTTCTCTGTCAGCCCGACTTCGGCAATCGACGCCTCCACTTGATCCAGGAGGATTTGGCCACGAAACCCTTTGACTTTGCCGTAAAAGATCAAGTGCTCGTGCACAGTCAGTTCCGGGTACAACACGTCGTGCTGCGGACAAATGCCCATGGACCGGCGGATCGCGTCCATGTCATTGGTCAGCGACAGGCCGTGGATCGTGGCGTCGCCGGCCGAGATGGGAATCATGCCGGTCAGCATGGAAAGGAGGGTGGTTTTCCCGGCTCCGTTGTGGCCGAGCAAACACGTGATTTGGTTCTTGTACATGGTCAAGTTGAGGCCGTTCACGGCCGTCTTGGTGCCGCCTGGGATTCGAAACACCTTGGACAGGTTTCGAATCTGAAGCGCGTCGCCGGACACTTCTTGCTGCTTGAGCTCCATGCCGACGGCCTCAATCGCGTCGTGATGTAGCACATTCAGCGCGACCGCGTTGGTTTCGACGACGGACGGCTGGGTGACCACTTTCGCGTGGGATTTGGTGGTCCAGTACGCAGGAGAGCAGAAAAAGTACCAAGGTTCTGTCGTCCCGTACTCGTTTGGCACGACTTTTTCCAAGTACAACCCCAGCAACGTATACAGGACGATGTCAACGGCCAAGAACACCAGCGCGGATGCGAACGGGAAGTTGCGGATAGGGATGGTCGCGTTGCCGAGCGTGATGCCGACTCCAGCAGATTCCGAAATAGCCAAACTCTCCACCCCAAACACGAGGGCGACGGGGGGAAGCAGACATGCGAGTTGCTTCGCCGACTGGGCCGACGTGGCGTTGAATCCAGACGTGATCAAGTACATGACGAAGAACCCAATGATCCCTATGTACGTCCCCGTGCGCGACTTGGAGAAAATTGCGCTGACCATGTACCCGTACGCCATCAAGCTCCATGCAAAGAGGAGAAAGAAGACAAAGAGAAGGAGGACGTTGGCATTTGTGAAGAGGATGGCGCGGGCGGCGACCGTTTGGAGCAGCGCGGCGACGACCAACACGATGGCATACGTGACGTACCAACTGCACACAATGGCAACATCGGGGATGCCGAGGATCTTGAGCAGCTCCCGGTTCTTTGATTCCTTTTCCGAAATGAGCGCCACGAGAATGGACGACAGGCATTGCAAGTACGAGATGACAAAGAGCAGGCCAAAGAAGTTTTGCACCGCCTTGTAAAACGGCGACGATGTGTAGTGCTCGATGGGAAACGGAAACACGGTGGCCCCCCCCGTGGCTTGAGGAAGTTGGCGGAGGGGGCGTGCCAACAAGGCCGTAGTTGTAGAGTCCAGTTTCGCCAGGTCCACGCGAGGTTGGTTGAGAAAATCGGCGGCCTTGACCAGCAACTTGTTTAGCGTCTGGTCGTGGGGAAGTTGCTGCTCCACCAACGACTTGGCCGTCACCGGGGAATCAACGGCCGTGGCTTGCTGCACAGTGCACTGGCCTGTCGTTTGACCGTTTGTCCAGTCCGGAACGCAAGTAGCAAAGCGCGTGACCAGTGTCTGCAGCGTCAAGAAGCCCGACGTGGCGTACCGAGTGTATGGAGCCAAGTCCAGCGCTCGTTGGAGAGGGTCCACGGCGCCATCGACCGTACGGGGCACGTCGCCCACCGCATTGCTGCGGCCCAGTGTAGCATTCAGTCGCAGCGTGTACTCAAGATTGCCCGCAACACCGAACGTCAAAGGGGTCGTCGTGAACACAATCGCCGCATCAATCACTGGAGCGTCGAACGATTGACCGTAATGTGCACCTGGGGGAGTTGGTTAGAGCGCAACTGCACGGGAATAGAAGCGTAGAGTGCTGTACCTGCGATGTAGGCATCAAGGGCAGCATTCGAGTCGAAAAACACGACCGAGTCGGCCAGGGCTGGTACGACCACACTCGTCGACAACGGGACGCGAGGATACCAAGTGGCCAACGTCTTGAGAAAGTAGTGTCGGGTGAATGGGGAGTCGGGGACGATGGCAATCTTGTGGGGGACTATGAACGGACGACAGAGTGCGGGCCACGCGTGCATGTCGGTGGAGCTGATGTTGCCCGCCCACGCGGACTCCCCGCACGTTGCGTTTTCGATGGCAGTTCGTTCCGCCGTGCGCAGACGCTCGTCGTACGATCGAAATGCCAGCTGCATCAAGTACGCCGACATGGTGGTTTCCGTCGCGACGAACCGCGGGACTGCCCCAGACGTCCCCGACGACGTCGTATCCCACAGGCTATAGCCCGTGCCAGTCTTGTTGTCCAGAGTGGCGTCGTTGGCCCATCCATCGGGAATCGCAATGTCCGGGAGAAGCGTTTTCAACGAACCGAGTACAACAATGAGGGCCACGGGCAGGAGAAGTTCCAGTGCCCACTTGATCGGGTGCTTGCGCTTGAGCAGAAAATTTTTCCACACCAGCGTCCAGACAAAGCTTGCAGCGCCAATCTCGGCGCTCGTTGTGGTTGCATCGACCATCGGCACGTGAAGGTCCGCTTGCGTTGTTGGAGCCATGATGAAAAGTGAGCTGGCGAGTCCTTCTCTCCATGGCCTGTCCACCGCCTGGATGTCCACTTCACTGGTTATGCCATGACAATCGGCGTGATCATGGCCAATTAAGTCCGGACATAAACGAAACTTCCATGGATATCCCTCCCTGTCTGCACGATGACTGGGGGTTGGCTTACTCGACCAGGCAGGGCCGCGCCATTCACGTCCGATGTGTGCAATGCCGCCAACCAAGGCCTTCAGCCTTGCGTTCTAGCGCTAGGACGGAGTCTAGCTCTTTCAGTAATGACTGCGACTCGACTGAAACACTCAACGACCGGGTCATACCTCACACGAATCTGTATACGTAATAGCTAGCTGTGCGTGTACCAACGAAGGATTGAGCTCGTCGTGGCCAAAGTGTGTGAGCTTTGGCCAAGGTGCAAGCGCTGATGTACTGCGATGGACACGTTACCCAGGCGATAGATTCTCTTTCGGTGGACCTCGCTTGTATGATATATTTGCGTTCTTGACAAGATGCCGACCCCATTTGACTTGCCTCAACGTGAGTTTTCCTTCACGGTGGTGCAAGTACGAACAAGAATCACGACATCTCCATCCTTGCGCACGTATGTGAATCCTTTCTCGTCTTGCGAGTTGTCGTTCGAGCCTCTATTTCGACTACCTCATTCGTGAACAGCAATCCCTCCAGCGTCTCCTCCGTATTTGTCAACCTTGCGGAGCTTATCGACGCAATCCAAATGAAGTGGTGTCATCCAGTCATTCGTATCCACTTGGATCGAATGCAAACGATACATGCTGTGTTTCATGTGACTGACGAGTTGAAGTTTCGTACAAAATCGTGAGCGCCATCAAAGCACGTGATTCGATGGGCTTCGAATCGGCCGCGCAATTCTGGCAATGGCCATCCCAATTTGCAAACAACGGAATTCCAGCATGGTCTCATGCATGCCACGCGATGATGCCCATAATACGGCTGAAACGGGGCGAAAGGTGCTGGAGAGATTGCCACGTGGCTTGGGCGGCCGGGGATTGCCGGTCGGGATGGAGTCGCGGCGTCGGGACAAATCCATCGTGACGATTTCTCGCACTGGCTGCACACCGTGAAAGTTCTGCAGAGGGCGTGTTTGATCATTGTAAATTAAGGTGCTGCTACATACTGCAAGCTGTGACTTGGTTGACTGGACGTCCTGTTGTCGGCAAAGTCTGTGACTGCAGACATCCCGACGAAATGAAAGGTCGTCGATTCGTCGCAACTTGATTCCATAAAGGTGTCGCGAACGAGATGGGCAGGGGCTATGTCGTTGCCGCGCTTGACCGCGAAGAACACTACAATTGTTGCGCCCAAGACAAGCACGCCGTACTTGCTCAGCCATTCTACACTTCCATCCATCACCACCAATTCTGATGGCAAGGGGGTCGTACCGACGACGGGGTGTGGAGTCGACGGTGGGGCCACGACGCAGACGCAATTCGAGCCGAGAAAACGGAGGTCAGACCCTGGACAAATTCGCTTGGGGAACGTTCCATCGCCGACTTGCCTTGTCGTGCGCATCAAGACAGTCACGTTGGTCAGTTGAAGGTAGGTATCACGACTGAGCTCGACGTCCACGAGGGGGTTGTCCGATAGATCTCTACGTCCATGGCATGGGACCGGAGGTCGTGGTGGTGCGGTCATTCACGTACAACTGAACCAGCGAGCGTGGGAACAGTGGCGCCTTCATCGAACGGATCTGGTTGCCCTTGAGGATGCTACGAGAATTACCTGTAAGGTCTCGGTGGGCGTACGCGACGATTGCGCTAGTACAGAGTCGAGAGGTTGGCAAAGTGGCCCCAGTCGACGCTGTCCAAGGTCTCTAGCATATTGTAGCTCAAGTCTCTACACCAGGGGGATACTGCAGTCAGCGACGTGTGAACGTGCCAGTGACAGGACGCACAACGTTGTTATGGAGGATGGCAACCGCAGAATTCCCCCGCTGCCAATTGACGGCAGGGCATTGTGGCTCAAGTTTCTATTCCCAACAGTGAGCGAGCCCCATGCATGATGCCTTGATGCGCAGTACAATGTCATGGGCGTGATTGGACTGAGCAGGGTCCAGTTGCCTTGGATGGACTGAATCGACTGGAACGAGACATCGCTACATCGCGTGTGCAGTTACTTTGGGCCGTCATGGGTGACATCAACCCATACATGTGATCGGACGAGGGGGCTCGAATCGAGCTCGCGTTGGTGGAGGGCATGCCGTCGCCTCGCTCATCTTGTACGCACAGAGTACCGTTGATCGGAGGCACATTACATGCCACCAACGTCGTCGCCACACCAACGTTTGCCCACCACGCAAGAGCGAGAGAGGTGAGGATTTGCATCGACACCAGGCCGGGCGAAATTCAAGTGAATCCCGCATCGGACAAGGCCCTGCAAAATCGTCCTGGCCACAAGACCAAAGGAACACTCGCCAGGCGATGCACCACGACTTCTTGAATGTTCGTCAAGGATCCTGTGCGCCACCTGTGTATGTGTTCGACGTGCACGACACATCACGCAAGCGGACACACGAGCAACTTGCTCAACATGCCAGTGGTGCGACTCGATCGAGAATGTTGAGCCCATTTCCTCCTAAGCAGGGCCAAGTGGCAGCACATCCCTGCGAGCCTTCAAATTGTGCATCGCAGCATGTTCCAGGTGCCGAAGCACCCAGTCGTATGGAACCTGCTGTCCTTGGATCTGGAATGAAGAAGAACAGGGGGGAAATACGGACGTGTTGGCCTGTCATGTTGTCCTGATGCTGCCCAAAAGCGCTCGATGCCATCAACAGATCGACCTCTTCCATTGCTTGGCAGCTTGGCGACCTCGCACCTTCCTCACTGACCGTGCTTGGCGCTGTTTGAAGTGCCGAGCACGGTGGAGCAATCCCTCCACGGAATGAATGCAGATCGGACGAGACCACACATTTCAAAGTTGATGACGTTCGTTCGCGATGTTCCTGCGCCCCACAACGAAACAACCAACGCGATCGATGGTCAGGCAAACGTATCGATCGTGGCCAAACACCACGCGTAAATACACTTCCACGTGCCGACTCGAATTGGAGCGCACAATTTAGGGCCTAAACGACTCTCTCAAGAGGTTGACGGGGCATGTCGTGCTATTGCTGTGGGTCGCATTAACGGCACGTCGACGCAGTTGCAGGACAAAGGCGTCGTTGGAACGCTGGCGGGTTGCTGAAAATGAGGGCCCGCGAAGGGTTGACCATCACATCCAATGGTCCGATAACATCACGCCCGCGGCAAACTCCACTGGAAAAAAGGTGGTGGTTGGGACGGCCCTGGTAGTTATGTCGGACAAACGTACTGGAATACAAGTTGGCCGTGAGCCACTCGTGCAGCGCGAGAATTTTTTCACATGCGCGGAAGAGGTTCGACGACTCGTTCATGCCAAGAGCTTCCATCGCATCGTGTCGAAGCTTGCGCCACTGAATGCGATCGTCGGCGATGTACTTGACCGTCAAGTCGGTCTCAGCCATGTGCCACTGCAGCACAAGGATCCTCACAACGGATGCGACCTATTCCACCAAGTGAAAGCGAGCTTCGGCAGGCAGCAACGTACGTGGACGCACAAGACAACTCCTTCAAGGACAAGTGCTGCTCTCATAACGGCGTAAGCAGATGCGGTGCCAACTGCTGCGCCACAAATGAACTTCAGCACAAACCCCCTCAAGGGGTTCGGGGCGTCGTTGTCTCGCTCGTTCATGTCGCTGTTGTCGCGAGCTATATGTGTCTGCCATTCAAGACGACATGGGAAGCATGCACCCATGCACTGCATGGGCAAACCCACACTGTTGGAACAATCGTGCGGCGAGTCGTCGCACGATGCTGAGAACACTTTGTGTTAGACGAGCAAAGCCAACGAAAGGCGTGTGCGAAGGACTCGAACGTACACGTAAACGAGCGACCGCGAGCCAAGCCCACCAAACGCATGACTGTCAGCCGGATCGCGACGTGATTGCCGGGTAGTGTGTGCCACGGGCGACAAGGGACAACCATTCGGCGCAACTTGCCATCCCGGAGCGGACACGAGAGGATTCGAACCAGCAAATGCTTGGTCTCGACGACATGACCCACCCCACACTTACCGCCTCGGGCTGCCTTGACTACGTTCATCGGCTGCATGCTGTCACCTTGCATGTTCATGTCTAGGCGTGACATGCCGACGACGGAAAGTAGTAAAATAGTCTTCTTGCCATTACAGTAGTATAAAAAACACCGTCAACGAGAAATGACGAGCAAGTTTATATTCGTAGCCCGCTTCAAGCGCCGCAATGGACGCCTTGCAAACGTTTTGCGCTGGAGGCAGCATGCCGAGAGTAGAACTGCCGTGGCGGTGTCCCTGCACCCCTTCCGACATCGTACAGCTGCGTCGACGTCCTCATGTGCCGCCGGTCACGTACGCTTCTGTTTTCACATCTGGACCAGCCAGACGCACAAGTTTGCATCGTTTGACGTGCGCCAACGCGGTGGGCAACGCCGGGATCGATACACTGTCCTATTCAAGACGGCGCGGCGCTGACGTCATTTCAGAGAAGGTCGTTCGACGCTGCCGACCCACGCCTGGTAAAGTCTCACGCAACTCGACCGCATTTGCCACGGTGGTGCATCCCGGTTTGGGCGAGAATGGTTGCGCATCATGTACAAGTGCACTTGAACAGGGATCGTTTTGATGATTTAGTCGCCTGGATGGAGAAAACAGCGACAGAGTCGTCTTGGTCGAGGTCAACTCGACGCTCGTAGGGTCATGCATTGTCCGCTGCATCATACGGAGTGCCTGCGGTGGTGTGCTTGACCCGCTTTGCAGCCGGATTCTCACGTTCGTCGTCGGCATTGTCGTCATGGTTGCCACCATCGTTGGTCGTGTTGTCCAACCCAGCAAGCGCCGTTGCAATCGTTTGGCTCGCAATCGCGCGCAGCTTTTTCTTGTGTCGCTTGCCCTTTTCGTGGAGGGCAACGTCCTGGGCACTGAGAAGCTGGACACCACACGGATCACAGTACAGTGAACGATTCGTGATGTGGCTGTCGTCATAGGCTCTGTCCGGGGCGTAGGTCGGGCGCAGGAGGGCAGCGGCGGTCGCTTTGGCTTCAAACGCAGCTTGTGTTGTCTCGTAGTACGCTCGCAGGCCAAACAGCCCAAACATTTCCGCGTTCGATTTGGTGTCAGCGATTGAAGCGACCTACAAGTCAGGTCGAGAGAAAGCCAACGTGCATGGAGGGTCGTGTACGTTGACGGCTGCGGTCACGTCTTTCGCTGGCAACATGCGGCTGATGTTGTACTTGGTGTTTTGGAACACATTGTCTGTGTCCGCCGCAAGTTTGAGGTACGATTCAACGTTCTACCAGCACACTGGAGCCACATCGTGGACAGACATGCGCGCTACCTCTTGGTACGGCACCATTCCCGCCGCTCGGAAACACGACGCATTGCTTAAGGCGCCGCGCGCAATGAGCACGGACTGGCACCCGGTTTCCTGACGTACGCGAGCAACGTCTGCTTGAGTCCAAATATCGCCATTCGCCAGAACGGGAACCGACAACGCCGACGGAATCAGTGGTAGGGCGTCCCAGTGGGCGTCGTCCATCGGTCGTTCATGCGCTTCTCTGCCGTCGACGAGTTCGTCACACCTTCAGGACATTTCGGACAAACTCACCTGGCATGGATGCCGATAGCCGCCGCCCCCGACAGCTCTACATCACAATGCCACGAGCTTTGGTTAGCGTCAACTCGGACCAACAGCGACTGGGTTGCGAGATGTACCCATCGCCTTGGCGAAATCGATCTAACGCCACACACGACCGAAGTTATTGGCATGCCGGCCAAGTAAAAGTTGGAACAAACGTACAGTTTCTTGTGGTGTCGACTTGATGCGAATCTTGCACGACACAGGGATGTTGAGGTTGCGCTGGAGCGTCTTCACGATCTGACGATGGGGATGGACATAACCGATGCCACGTCATGATGTGACGGATTGTATTCATGACGTACATCCGCAGCCACATCAGGTTTTCCCATGAGAGCAATGCCCATCCCGCCTTGCACTGAGAAATGCTTGGGGCATCCCATGTTAATGTCCACGGCCGCAACGTCGCGCGCGCTAGACATGACCATGAAAGCCAAGTC